CTAGACTGAATAGATAGGTAGACAGATTATTACCTTATCAATTTAAGGTTGTTCATATACCAGGAAAAGATATGGGTGTAGTAGATTATTTGTCTAGAGACCCTAACGGCAAACCGTGGCCAGAGTCAGTGTTGGATGAAAAATTTGTAGTCACATCGAAAGTTTCCATAAGGTTTACTCAGTCGACTGAGTGATCACGATGGGCTCGACCGGAACGAAAACGTTCTAGAATATTCTGAATATGATCAAAATGTGTCAAAACAGAACACTTCATCCAATAGTTGCTATGGCAATCAAAATGGACCAAAACGATCAGAGCACGACCGGAACGAAAGCGAAACAAGTTCGCGATTGTGTAAACGAGAAAGCTGTGCAAAACCAGAAAGTTGTCAATTCATACAGTCGGTCAAAAAACATAAAATATTTCAGGAAAATTTATCACATCGAGAGTATTTGAAGGAGAATAAAGAAATGAAAACGGGAGAAGCATCGAACGATGGAAAGGGGAGAAAAAATGTCAGAATTCAGGAGAGAAATAGCATAGACACGGTAAGGGAGGAAGTCACGGAAAGAACATTCCAAAGGACCAGGACGATACAGCGCACCCCAACCGAATCAGACTCAGAAAATTCAGACTCAGACGAAATGCCACAAGTGTAATGGCGAGCAATGAACAGGCAACTCTTGGCAAACACCGGAAACAGTGGCCAATCAACTTCAACTGCTGTAACAGCACAACCAGCATCAACTGCTGTAACAGCACAACCAGCATTAGTCTCGTTTTGGGAACTCATAGGGTCGGAGAGAGAGGATAAACCCAGGTCAATGTTGGAGTTAGAAGCAACGTCTTCAATGCAAAGTCCAAGGAACCTGTCGCAGAACACATCAAGGGACAAAGCAGGAATAGGATCGCAGAACACATCAAGGGACGAAGCAGGAATAGGACATGTAGTTGACGTGGGTCTAACCGGAGATAGCATCGAAGACAGGGACTACAGTCCGGAAGTTAGTGTTATCACACCTAGACAAACCAAGAGGGTGGGACACAGATCTAGAAAAAACGAACATCAGCTGACGGAGCAACTAAATGCGGAAAATGGCCCACTGTCTCTCACAAAATTATTCGACAAAAGCCTGCTTGCGGAATTGGTAACAGAAGATACTTGGATAGATCGCTTAAGAAGAGTGGTGGAGCGCAATGACAGGCCGGGTTTTGAACTGATGGGGTCCTACACTAATCCTCTGTGGCACCAGATGTCCAAAGTCCAAGGACCCTGTCGCAGAACACATCAAGGGACAAAGCAGGAATAGGATCGCAGAACACATCAAGGGACGAAGCAGGAATAGGACATGTAGTTGAAGTGGGTCTAACCGGAGATAGCATCCAAGACAGGGACTACAGTCCGGAAGTTAGTGTTATCACACCTAGACAAACCAAGAGGGTGGGACACAGATCTAGAAAAAACGAACATCAGCTGACGGAGCAACTAAATGCGGAAAATGGCCCACTGTCTCTCACAAAATTATTCGACAAAAGCCTGCTTGCGGAATTAGTAACAGAAGATACTTGGATAGATCGCTTAAGTAGAGTGGTGGAGCGCAATGACAGGCCGGGTTTTGAACTGATGGGGCCCTGCACTAATCCTCTGTGGCACCAGATGTCGGTGGTGGACGACTGTCTCCTAGTGGATAACCGTCTAGCCGTACCGGACAAGCTGAGGCAAGCAGTGCTTCATAGACTTCATCAAGGACACCCCGGTCAGGAGGCGATGCTAGAGCTGTCAAACTACTTATGGTGGTCACACATGCATAAAGACATAGTCAATCTGGCCGAAGAGTGTAGAAGTTGCACTCGTTATGGTAAGAACTTTAAATATTTAATTCCAAAAAATTCGGCTAAACCACTTCCACTGTTGACAAAGCCGGGGCAAGAATTGCAATTAGACTATGCGGGCCCACTTGAAGATCACAAGGGGAAGAAGGTATATTTATTAGTGGCTATTGATAGATATTCTAAGTTTCCGTCAGTTAAAGTCACGAAGTCTACTGGGGGAAAATCAACAATAAAATTTCTTCGTACCTATATTGACACACATGGGATACCGGAGTCAATTAAAACGGATCAGTTTTCCGGGTTTTAAGGAAAAGCGATGGAAAAATTCTGCAAAAAAAATATTATCTCACAAAAATTCTGTCCGGTCGGCGATCATCGAGGATGTGGTTTGGTAGAGCGTACAATACAGACTATTAAACGAAGATTGGGTGTTATGTTGCTCGATGAAAACGTTTATTCGATTAAACTCTGCTTAAGTACAATGATTAGGGACTTAAGATGGAATACACAGAAAACCACAAAATTGCCACCATTCGAGGCCCACTTCGGTTGATTGCCCAAAACTGAATTTAAAATTTTAAGAGTTAAGTTCCTTAATGAGTCTGGTCGGTTAGATAAAGAACATCTGGAAATATCTGCATTAACAGCTTCCCAATTAAAAAGACGCATAGACGAGTCGAGGGATAACGTGAAGATCATTCGGAAAGGACAGAATAGTCGCGATGTCAGTCCATTGTTCCTCAAAGATACGACCGCAGCGAAGGAACGAGCGAGAGCCAATGAGCTGAAGCAATTACTGGAGGCAAACGCAAGATGGAACGCCACTCGGAGAGACATATCGGATAGCGAGTTAAGACGAATCGTAGATGAAACTAGCACGACTAACGCTGAACTTAGAAAAGAATTGTTATATTCATGTGAACTAGGGTTTATTGAAAATAAACAAAATGCAGAAACTGACAATTGGTCAGGGAATTTCCTTCGCAAACACGAGCAAAGAAAAAGTGGAAAGGCTCTAACGATACCACTTAAAGGGAAAATTGTGGCTGAGACACCCGCGACTGTAAGGACAGCTGCGGGTGCAATTTACCGTAAGAGTGATGTCGCGAATTCCAAGGTGCCTGGGCTGTCCAACATGAGCGGATCGGAGAAGAAACGAAGTCATACAGGAGAAGAGCTAAGAAGCAAACAACAGATCTAGTACAGACGGAAGATAGCAGAATTTTGGATAAATTTCAAAATTCCACATTTATAGTAACGTCAAAAGAGACGGAGACGGGAGGTGGTCTGAACCTAGATGGGAAACGGAATAAACCGAACAGAGCAGAACCGTCGGTGAGAAATCAAAAAAATAGTATGAGCAATTCGGAAACTCAAGATATTAGAAAGACAAAGGCTGTCAAAACAGCAGCAAAGGATGTTAAAGATCGAAACATTGGAAACACTGAGGCAACAGCGTCATCCACTCCAAAGAAAGCATCAGAAAAACCCATTACTCGTAGGACGAAGGAACAAGAAATTCTGGATACATTTCAGAACAAGGACATGTCGCCAGAGGAATGGGATGACTTGGCAGAGCAGGTTTTGATCAGAGGTGTACAAAATGAGGCTGAACAATTACTCAACAAACGGGCCCAAACGCTATTTGTCCTCCTCCAGGATTTTCCAATGAGTCGGACAAAGAAGAAGAACAGACTACAGTGAGGAGGAACAATAGACAAACAAAGAATCAGGAGCCAAAAAGATGCGGCAGCCCGGTGTCTCACTCGGTGAAACTGATTACCTGCGAGGACGACATTACAGACTTAAATCTGGCAGCCCTCGAGGCTTATAGGACGAGATTAGCGACGATTACAGCTGCTAACAGCGAAACATCGCCAGTTAACAAAACGTTTGGGTTATTGGAGCGAGACTTGTATAAACCTAGATTTGGGGCTACATCTTTGGATATTGCCAAATCATGGAATGCTGCAAGAAATAATGGGGAGCCGGAAAAGGTCAACAAGAAGTAGAGAAAAATGAAACAAAACTGAAACATTGATAGTAAACTGAGATTAAAATTCATATTGTATTTTTTAAAATTTTATATGCTAGTATATAAAAATTTGCTACTCTCAGGGGAATGTGGTACGGTGTAGTACTGTTGCCGCAGTAACCTTGGAGAAGTAATGTTATTAATAATCTGTTATGTATTGGTACTATACATTTCAAGGCCAATCTTGCAGGCCTATTGCAGCAAGTCATTTGGACGGTTGCGAACTAAGAGAAAAGAACGATCAACATGATCTCTGAAACAAAAGAACGTTAAAGTAAGAGTTAAATTCAAAGTTATACTCTTCTGTCTTTAATTAGTAAACTGAGGCGAAACATTAGTTTACCACAGCTATGTTACATATAATTTTGGCGATTGTTTTGTTTGCTCTTTTTTTGTTTCTCAAGTTTGACTTTTTTGCAGTTTGGTTTCACTTTTGATTGTTTTTTAAGTTCAGACTATTTCTCTCGTTGAAAACTGACCAAACTCGACTATCAGAAGAACTATTGCAAAAGTCACGAAAAACGTGATCAACATCTAACTTCTAAAGTGGATTTTGCATTTCAAATTTTTCAGCGGTATAAAACTTTACCTGATAATCTAGTTTACTCAAATTGAGTTATTTTTATTTTAGAAGTACCAATAATAGATTGTTCGTGAAGCTCAAAGAGCATTGAGTTGTTATTTTTCTTTGAGCCTTAAGGCATGTTTTTTTCCGTCACATTAGAAAAATGAAGATTTTCAGAAAATATTTCTTTTGCTATTTGTATTCTCTTTTTTGCATTAATTGACGCTTTCCCAACCGTCTGTTGTATATGTTTCATTTTCGATAGCAAAAAATTACACCCTACTTTAAAGGCCACTCGGAAATTCTAAGCTTTTGCCTGAACTGAACTTGTTTGACTATTAAAAAGTTAAAGCGCAAATTCTTTGGAACCATTTCTGGTAAGCCAAAAATCTTCGAAACAAATTCAACTGCCTAATCGGCAAAAGAACTGACTCAGAACGAGTTCGCCTGATAGTGAAATATCTATCCATTTTTGTCAATGTATCGCCAAGGAAAATCCGCCAAATTAAATAATAGAGTGGCGAATGTACTTTAACTGGAGTTTATGTTGTTTTGTTTTGCTTAAGAAAAATGTGGTCCGAATTATGCAGTGGCACCGGAGTGTGAATTCCCATCAACTTTTCACAGACGAAAATACTACACCTGCACCGGGTACAACCCTTGTAAGTATTTGCTTCCCATTAACTTAACTACTCCTTTACCCCTCCTTTGCAAAAGAGGCAGTTTAATAGAAGATCAAATTCTCTCATATGTTGGATTAGTTGTGAACAGTATCTTTACTAGTTTCAGCTTACTGCCCATAGATAATTTTTTAAAAAATTTTTGGATTTGATCCTTCCCAGGAGGAATGACGGGGGGGGGGGGGTTGGGTGCTTGTTAACACGATCTGCAGCTTGGATATACACACATTTCCCTCCAGGTCGGCAACATTAACATGTATTTTTTAAAAATTTTAAATTCTAGTTGCTGTTTGTAAACACGCGCTGTGAACATGACTATTTTAAAAAATAATTGCAGAGAAACCGCTTGCTGAACTTAGAAAAAAACGCTTTTCAATTGAATTTAAAAACTTATTTTTTGTGTTATTTTGTAATCAAATAGTTTTTCTGCGAATCATACCTCCTGCTCTGTCTAAGAAAAAGGTTTTGTACCACGCCCACTTTTTACAACATTCAAAAAAAGGGCGAAGTTGAAATCAAAAGACGAAAAAAAAATCACCGGTTCTAAGCAAAACAGAGTTACGAAAAAAAAATCACGGGTTTCAAGCAAAACAAACAGTTTAATTACCTGACTAAAAACGTTCATCAGCTCAAAAGACAATAAAATGAAAAACAGCCAGTTTCTGTACAAGCTAAAGTCAAAATGAGTCCTAAAAAACTTTCTTCATGTTTTTTCTTTAGTTTTTTTAAACTCTTATGTAGGCCGCGATAATTTTTTTTTTTCGTTTTTTTTATCAGTAAAAGTGTTAAAATCTAATCAAGCTCAAATTTATTTTTTGCGGTATGACTTTTGATTGTTTCAAATTTTTAAACAGAAGGCAAACTCAATTATCTAAGAGCAAAAGTGTAAAGTTCACAAAACCAGATCGACTTCTAGTTTTGAAAGTGGAATTTATTTTTCAGATTTCCCAGCAAAACCAAAACCTTACCTATTGACCCAGTTTCCTCAAATTGACTTAATTTTATCATAAAAGCTTCTAAATGAATGGTTTTAGAAATTTAAAGGGCGTTTTTTAGGGCGTTTAATTTTTTTCTTGAAGTTCATATGTTGAAAATTTTCAAAAAAAAGCAGTTTTTTCTTCAATCTACTTATTTTTTCAAAATTTCTAATCGCGAATTGAGAATTAAATGTGATGGCCTGACTAAAGAAAAAGCTGCCAGCGCGACATGTGAGTTGACAATGACGGCGCGTCTTACGAAAAGAGGTCCATCTTAGGAAAAAATTGTGCCGTGTCGCGACTTTGGAAAAGATTTTGATGGCGCGACTAAAAAGAGAACTCAGGACCGTAAAAAGCGTTGCAACTTAAGAAGAAAACTCTCTTGGAATAAAAAACGGTGGTGGCAATGCAACCAAAAAATGATTTGAGTCATTGCGCTACTTCAGAAAAGACTGGCCATCGGAAGTAAAGACCTCGACAGCGCAAGTAAAGATAGAACCTGCGGTGCAAGATAATAAAAGTTGTTGAAAATGTTACTAAAAAACAGTTTCGGCCGGGCACAACTTGACCAAAAACGCGCAACTTAAGAAAAAAACTACTTAACCTGACCTAGAAAAAAACTTTGAGCAGCGATGTGATTTTAAAAAAAATTTGTTTTGCAATTTGTAAAAAGATACTTTTCAACGCTACACAAACTAGAGCACTGTTAATATAATGGTGTCATGGCGACACTCAAGAAAAGGGTGCAATTTTAGAATATACTTTGACCCGCGGAGCGACTTAAAAAAAACAGGCGGCGTGTCTCAACTAAAAAGTAAACAATGGTCCGACCTAGGTTTAAAAATGTATCTGTCGTGCGACTCAAGTTAACATAATTTTGGTGGAGCAATTTAGGAAAAGATTTTGAGACCCGTAGAGACTTAAAAAAAAGATTTTGATAGCCCCGCGCGATATAAAACAAGAACTTGGGTTTCTCGAATGAACAAAATATTTTGAGCCGCTGTGCGACACACGAAAAGACTGGTGGAGCAACTCAAGTGAAAAACTACCTCGTCCGATCTAGAAAAATCTTTGAGCCGTGACGCGACTTTAAAAAAGACTTTGGTGGTGTAATTTATGAAAAAAAAACGCGACGAGGCTTAAGCTAGACTTCTGGTGGTGTGAAGTCCAATATGATTTATGATTTTGAGTCACAGCGCGACTAAAGAAAAAATTGAGCCACGGCGTGACATTAAAAAAAAAATTGGGGAGCGACTTAGGAACAGACTGGCCACGCGAATCGAGTAAAAAAACTAACTGGTCCGACGTAAGAAAAAACTTTTATCCGTGGTGCGACTTGCGTTGCTAAAATTTTGATGGAACAATTTAAGAAAAATGTTTTGAGACGCTGTGAGACTTTGAAAAAAAAAACTTTGGTTGCGCAATTTAAGAAAATACTTTGAGAACCGGTGAGATATAAGGAAAAACTCTGGCCGCGTGGGATGAGATTAAAAACTTGAGCCCCGGCGCGACCTAAAAAAGACTGGCGCCGCGATTTGAGTGGAGGAAAAACTAATGGTTCTTACGTAAGAAAACACTTCGAGCAGCGGCGCGATTGATGAAAACAAGTTGGAAGCGCAACTGAAAAAGGACTGAAACCCTAGACAACAACACTGGCTGAGAGACTAAAGAGAAAACTTTGAGACGCAACGAGGCTTCAGCAAGATTTTTGTTGGCGTGACTCAAGATAAGACCATGATCCGCGGCGCAGCTTTAAAAAAGTCAGCAGCCTTTTTAAAAAAAAAAATTTGTGGCGCGACATAAGAGAAGACTTTGAGCTGCGGGGCTACTTAAGATAAAATTTGGCGATGCAATTTAAAAAAAAAGACTTTGAGAACCAGCGAGATTCACGAAAAGTTTCTGGCTGCGTGACTTAAGTTGAAAACATAAGTTGCGGCGCAACTTAAGACACTATTTTGAACCGCTGCACGACTTAAGTAACAAAAGATAATTGGTCCAAGCTAGGAAAAATCTTTGAGCCGAGCTGCGAATTATGTTACTACGTCTTAGGGGAATCAATTAAGGCAACATTTTGAGACGCGACTAAACTTAGAAAAAAACTTTGAGTCGCAGCGCGTCACAAGAAAAAAACTTTAGTGGCGCAACGGAAGAATTAACTGGCAATGCTACATAAGAAAAGACTGGCGGCACAGTTCAAGTAAAAAAAGACTTAATAGTCCTATCTAGGAAAAAAATTTCGAGCCGCTGTGAAAACTATTTTGGGCGCAACTTAAGAAAGACTGAAACTCGACGAGACTTAAGCATGGTTTCTAGTGGCTTGACTTGAGGCTTAAAGCTGCGGCGCGATTTGTCAATAAATTTTATTGGTACGACTTGAGAACAGGCTTTGAGACATCGTTCCACTTAAGCAAAAGCTTTAGTGGCGCAACTTAAGAAAAAATTATTAGACCTGGCGAGGTTTAAGCAAGAACTCTGTCGTCGTGTTTTAAAACAAAATTTTGAGACGCAACTTAAGAAAAAATTTTTGGTGGCGCGATGCAGAAAAAGACTTTGAGCGGCGGTGCAACTTTAGAAAAGACTGGCTGCGCGACGTTAGAAAACAAATTGGTGGCCAGTTGTGGCAGAGCTACTTTGGGGAAAAATTTATTAGCACGGCTAAAGAAAAACCTTGAACTGCTTCTTTCAAAACGAGCCACCAGCCTTTTTACGATTCGATGAACGTATTTCAGTCTTTATTTATGTCGCGATGAGACACGACGAGGCTTCAGCAAGATTTTTGTTGGCGTGACTCAAGATAAAACTATGATCCGCAGCGCAACTTTAAAAAAGTCCGCGGCCTGACGTTTGAAAAATTTTTTGAGGCGACTTAAGACTTTGATCTGCGGGGCTACTTAAGATAAAATTTGGCGATGCAACTTTAAAAAAAGACTTTGAGAACCAGCGAGATTCAAGAAAAGTTTCTGGCTGCGTGACTTAAGTTGAAAACATATATTGCGGCGCAGCTTAAGAAAGTAATTCGAGCCGCTGCACGACATAAGTAACAAAAGATAATTGTTCCAACCTAAGAAAAATTGCACCTTTGAGCCGAGCTGCGAATTATTTTACTACGTCTTAGGTGAATCAACTTAAGGCAAGATTTTGAGACGCGATTAAACTTAGAACAAAACTTTGAGTCACAGCGCGTCACAAGAAAAAAAACTTTGGTGGCGCAACGGAAGAATTAACTGGCAATGCTACTCAAGAAAAGACTGGTGACACATCTCAAGTAAAAAAGACTCAATAGTCCTATCTACGAAAAAAATTTCGAGTCGCGGTGCGACTGATGAAAATTGTTTCGATTGCAACTTAAAAAAGACTGAAATTCGACAAGACTTCATGGTTTTTAATGGCTTGACTTGAGGCTTAAAGCTGCGGCGCTATTTGTCAATAAACTTTGTTGACAATACTTTAAAATAGGCTGTGAGACATCGTTCTACTTAAGCAAAGGCTTTGGTGGCGCAACTTAAGAAAAATTTAATAGACCTGGCGAGATTTAAACAAGAACTCCGTCGTCGTATTTTAAATTAAAATTTTGAGACGCAACTTAAGAAAAGATTTTTGGTGGCGCGATGCAGAAAAAGACTTTGAGCGTTGGTGCAACTCTAGAAAAAACTGGATTCGCGACGTTAGAAAACAAATTGGTGGCCAGTGCTACTTTGGGCAGCGCTACTTTGGGGAAACATTTATTAGCACAGCTAAAGAAAAACCTTGAACTGCTTCTTTCAAAACGAGCCACCAGCCTTTTTACGATTCGATGAACGTAGTTCAGTCTTTTTTTATGTCGCGATGATTTCGATTTATTTTTAGGAATTTGTTCGGGCTCATCATATTTTTTCGCGGATTGAACATTTTTAAAGTTCAGTTCTTATCATTTTGTAAAAAGCAACAAAGTTCACTATCGAACAACAAAAAGTTGAAGGCCAGGAAAAACATAATTGACTTCTAGTTTCGAAAATAGAGTTTGTT